CCGGGCCAGCCTTTTCCGCTCTTTGTCGCCTGTAACTTCGTTTGCAGACAAGATACAGTATTCCACATAATTTCATTTTGTAGTACTCGTCGAGCTCTATCATATTTGGTTTAGTTGATCTGAAAATAATGATTCTGAAAGAAACAATGGCAAGGCCCGGGAAATGCCCGGATTACAAGTACGATTTTGGGGGAAAAAGCGTCAAAAATTAAAAAAAACCTGTAACGCCTGTCTCTCCAGCCCCAACTGCACAATTTTGTCGAAATACATTTGTTGGCGGGCGGCTTTTTGTTGTCGGTCAAGACAGTTGACCAGATTCCCGAGTACGTCTCGTTCCTCGTGTTCCGGTGAGATTATGTCGACTGAAAGGTTAAAAAAAATGTTCTCAGGTTACGGTAGTTGCCGTTGAGGGATTTTTCATAGATTTTGAATTTTTCCAAAAAAAAAACCAAAAATCCAAAAAATCGCATTTTTCAGATTTATGTTTTTAAAAAGTTCAAAACCGATGTAAGGTCCTACAGCGACAACTACCGTAACCTAAAAATATGTTTTCGTCGAGTTTTCTGCTATTTCTCGACTGAAAAAGTCGACTGAAAACGCACGAAAATCGAAAAAATAAAATTCGAAAATTAAAGGTTACGGTAGTTGTCGTTGTGGGACCTTCGGTTGCGTCCACCGGCGATGGGCGGAGCTTAGGTCTGGTAGCGAAATTCTTAAAGACGCATTTAAAGGAGCATGCATTTTCGTAACTATTTTTTGACCTATTTTTCGATTTTTATCGATTTTTCAATAATTTTCATTGTTTTCATGCAATTTTTCGCGATTTTTTGAATTAAATTTCGCCGATTTTGAATTTTTCAACAAAACTTCGAAAAATCGCAAAAAAGTGCAATGAAAATCAATTAAAATCATTGAAAAATCGAAAATGAAATTTGTCGAATTTTCAGAATTTCTCATATTTTTTCTAGAATATTTTTTTTAGAAAAATTAATTATTTTCAAATCAAAATTTGAAATTTTTCTCAAAACCTACTCGGCTTGCTCTTCCCTTCCTCCTCCTCCCCCTCTCCATCCACCAACAACTCTTTCAGCTGCCCTCTACAGTAATTCAATGCCGCCTGTATCAAATCCACGTGGCTCTTCTCTGCATCTCTACGTCTCCACTCGTCCATCATCTCTTGTATCTCCTTATCAACCTCGTTCTCATCGATTTTCGAAATCAGCCATGACGATTTACGGGATCGCGAGATCGGTGTATGCTCTTCAGATGAGCAATACGACATTCTAGGAAAAACAACGGTTTGGCGGGAAATTTGAATTTTTTGGGTTTATATTCTGACCTAGATGTTGCCTAGTTTCTAATCTAATCTAATCTGGAGGTATCTCAAAATAGAATCGGTCAATTTTTTGTAGTAGAACAACTATAAAAACAGGAGAAAACTTTCATCAATAACAATTTCATTTTATTACACGTTCTGAGAGAGAGAGAGAGAGAGAGAGAGAGAGAGAGGGAGAGAGAGAGAGAGAGAGAAAATAACACAAAATGGGAGAGAGCAAGGAGACGCAGAGATAACAAAATTTTCAGGTCAACACCACTGATAATACTAGAGATCTCTCTTATCATAGTGCTGACCTTGAGAGAAGAATTCCATGAAGAAGTAAAGAAAAACACAGCGTGTTAAGAAGGCTAGTCAACTCAAAATGAAAAAGTGGGCGGAGCCAAGAAAATTAATAGAAATTAGAAAAAGTTATAGTGGCCGGGAAAAACTCGGGGAAAAACGGGGAACTGCGAGGAAATGTGTCTTAAAAAAGAGAAAGGAACAAAAAATGAATAACAAAATGAGGCAAATTTTGAAAGAGGGGCGGTAGAGGTAGAAAAAATAGAAAAAAGGTTATTAAAAGCGCAAAAAAAAATATTAGGGCTCAGTTTTGACATAACTTCTGCCACAGTGGGTTTCCAGTTGGGTGACAAGGTTGCGGACGTGGCTTGGAAGCACCAGTAGACCTGGAAAAAATTAGAATTTCAGATTATATATAGGAATTCAGAAATTTAAAATATTGGGATTCAGAAGCCAAAAATTTAGGAGAAGACCTGAAAATCAGAATAAAAAATTCTGGAATCCAGAAATCTAGAATTCAAGATTCCGGGGGTCTAAAAATCGGAGCAAAAGCAATCTTGATTCCAAAATTCCAAAAACCACAGATCACTGATAACGACAATTGTTTTCCTCTGTCTGTGTGTCTGTTTATCCCCAACTTACCAACAATCTTCTGATCATGATCAGTTCTGACACGAATCACTTGCATTCGAGACGACTTCCGATCGCTTCCAGCGAGAACCTCTTCGACAATCGGCCAAACAGACAAGACGGATCCGGACAGAACGAAATAGGTTCGTGTACGTCGTCCAACTTCACAATACGTTCCATTGGATTCGGTACGACATTTTGAGTATATGTAGTTGTGTTGACACATGTTCGCGGCGGCTGAAATTCAGAGAAATTGGGTTAAACTGAAAATTAAGCCCAAAACTGCAAAATGGAGATCAAAATGTTCAGAAAAATGTGATATGTAGATTCATATAACAACAAAGAAAAAAATCATAAAAATCGCAAAATTTCAAATCGCTTTTTCTGAAAACTTCTGGAAGATAGTGAAATCTTTTTTGAATTCCCGCCAAAACTGAAAACTCCGAAAAAATAATATTTTTTTTCGATTTTTGGTGGTTTGTCTGAAAATTGATGGAACGGTGTTCGCACGGATCACTGTAGGTTACTGTAGAAAACTCATTTCCTTTTGTAGTTTTTTTTGTTGCAAACACCATCACGTCAAAGTGCAGACAAAAACGCTTCTTTGCAAAAAAGAAACTAAACAATACAAGGTTTTCTACAGTAACCTACAGTAATCTTCACGAGCACCGTTTCATCAAACTTCAGATAAGAAACCGAGAAAATCGAAATAGAATCTTCAAAAAATAGCTGAAAAACCTAGCAAGGTCTAAAAATTTTGCAAAAATCGGAGAAAATATCGATTTTGAAGTTTTCGATTCGTTTTTGGAATTCCCGTTTTTTTTCTTTTCTGGAATCCCCTTGTCAGTTTTGATGAGAATTCCAAAAAGGGATTCTAGAAATGGACGGAAATTGTGATTTTTCGAGATTTTTATTATTTTTGAATTTCATTGCTGTATGATTCTACCCATTTTGATGTCTTAAAATCGGCAAAAAACTCACAATCATACTGCTGCTTCCAGACCTCCTTGGCTTCATCTACCGTAACCTTGCTGAATCGTTTACTCAAATCAGCCATGGTCATCAACTTGGGAGATCGACCAGTAGACGGGCGGGTTATTGCATAGAGCCGAGCTCCGTTATCCATTCGAATCTTTCCAATACCGTATACCAAGGCGGCCACTTTTTTCGTGTTGGCAGTGTTAGCACCGCCCGGATGGCAAAGATAGAATCCGTCCTGAAAAAAAATCGAAATGAAATTACGAATTTCAAGATGAGCAATCATCAAGCCTTGAAGTTAAAGCTATATTTTGAAAACTGCTTTGAGATGAGCAATCTTATCAAGCCTAGCTAGAAAAATTCCAACTCACATCATCATTACTATGCTCCTTGAACAACTCCATCGCCTCATCCCAACTGACTCCTCTCTCCACACCAATCTTGTGCATCTCAACCCGGAACGATCCATTATCGACTCGTCCTGTGAACACTCGAGTCTCCAGCTTCCGAACCTGATCATCACCAGTACCCAGATCCATGATTCCAGTGTCATAGGTTCCATCGTGTTTGGACTGAGCAATCAGCTCCGCAACGATTTCCGAGAAGTAATGGAACAGCGAGTTCTGAGCGTGTACAGGGAGTCCCAGGATTCGATTGAGGAACTTTGGAATCGTCGCTGCTTCTTTTTCAATGGTATACTGTCCGTTTTTGTTCTTAGCCAGCAATCCAACACCTTCCATATAAAGTCTCATATCTTCGAAGAAGTCTCCAGCCTTATAATCTTTGGGAGGCTCGATAAGAGGCACTCCAGCCTGTCCTATTACAGTTTTCAAAAGAGTATCAAGAGCAACTCTTCCATATTTATTATCCATATTAAATTGAGACAAATCTCTCGTCTCAGTGGCTCTTCTATCTCCATGGGTAAGAGCTCCAAGAGATTCCAGACGTTTTGCAACGATGGAAGCGAATCGTTTCTCTCCAGCCAACTCAGATATCAGAAAAACATACTCTGGTCCAGAGACTTGATTGGATCGATGGGTTCTTCCGAACTGTTGAATGGCCTTGTCAGCAGACCACGGAAGTTCCAAAGTGATATGCACACGTCTTCTTTTATTCATAGCACGTCTATCCGATTGTAGAGAGATTCCAGATGACGCCGCTTCAGAGATAATAGCGATGAGCTTCTCGCCACGCATGAACTTCTCCTTCTCCTCCATATTGATCAATTCCAGTGAAACTTCTGCATTGGCATTTCTCCTTTGGTACATGACATCTCCAGTCTCAGTGGTCACCATATGACCTCGTCTTCCAGTCATTTCTGCAACATATTCAGGGCCGCCCATCTCATCGATCAACTGATCCAAGGTATTCGCTGGGAGCGAAGGTGCTAATCTTTCTACAGCGGCAAGTAGCTCGGTTTTGATGAGCAATGGATTGATATCCTCTTTTTCTCCAGAAGACCCACATATTCTAGAAGACGTGATGAAGTCTGTAGCGGATCCTCGAGCTTGGAGTTCCTCGTTTCTGCGTCTCTTCTCTCTTTCAGCCTTCCGAATCGCACGACGACGTTTCTTCTCACGACGCTCTTCTCGTTTCCGAACCTTCTCTCTCATTCTTTCAGCTTCTTCCTCGTCGCGTTTTCGTTTCTTCGTCTTTCGTTCTTTGACAGGCGTGTCTTCCACGATTTGCTGCATGTTCGCCCACGGATCTCCTCTCGAAAAATCACACATGAACGGATTAAACTCCTCGTCTGGCTCTCGTTTCACCTGCTGCTCTCCTTCCTCCTCCTCGTCTTCTGCATCCTCTTTCACGTCTTCAGCTTCATCTGAATCCTCGTCACTTGATGATTCTGCTTCTGCCAACAACGCCTTCACCCATTCATCCTCCTCTCCATCTTCCAAGGTACGAGCTCCCTCTGCTTCTTCTCTCGCGCTGGCAAGGTCTCCATTTTTATCATCCTCAAATTCGGATGCAGAATTGTCTCCAGATTCGTCTCCAGAACTTTCCGATGTTGTCGAATTAGCCTCGTCTTGTCCTACTTTCGATGTTCCAGGTCTACCAATGGATCCAAACTTCAGACTTTTGCCACCTTCTCCGACTTGTCCACCCATTCCAGTCGTCACACCAGTCCACGTGTCGAATCCAACATCTCCAAGGAAGCTAAGAGTCTCTCGAGTTTTTCTCCGCTTAGCAGGTCTATCAAAGTCATCGAAATCTTTGAAAATGTCTCGATCACCCATCGAAAGCGATGTGTCCGTTGGAAAATGCTTATCAATCAAGCCATAGAGAACAGTCTTGGCAGTAGAAACGAACTCATTCAGTTCTCCGCCCATCTCCTCCAACGTCTCCAATGTTGCTGATTCTCCGGTGGATTGAAGACCAATTACGACGCATTTTTTGGCCTTGATAGCTTCTCTGGATAGTTGAACACAGGTGTCAACTTTGGCGGCAATACAAAGATATTTGAAGAATCGCTGATGACAAGCCCAGAATTGTCCCCAAATCGTTTTGCAGGTGGATCGCTCTTCTTCATCCATGGTTTCTATTACAGTCTGAAACTGCCTTCTCGCCTCCATCCACAACTTCACCGCCGCATCGTACATCTTCACGAAGTCACTCGACAACTGAACCTCCTGAACCGCAAACGAGACTCCTCGAAAAGACAACTGACGCGCCAAATAGAGACCTCTCTGCTTCATATCCATCGCCACGATCTCCATAGCTCCGACACCTCGTCGCTCAACGGCAGAGATAAAATCGTGAAACTCTGGAAACGCCTGACGCTCTCCCCATAGTCCCAAACGAGTCATATAGGCCATATTTCGGGGCTCAGTAGCTCCAGTAGCACTAGCATACACAACACGAGCATTTGGAAGAGCCTTCTGAAGTTCTAGAACCATTCTTCCTGTTTTTGTTGGCTTTGCTCCGGCGGTTGGCACCAGATTTTTGGCTCGATGGCACTCATCAAGAATGATAACTCCATCGTAATCCTGACCGAACCATTGGATCAGTTGGCTGATACGACTACGGTATTTGCGAGATTTTGCTCCTCGACACTCTCCAATCAGCGATGTGTACGTGGCAAACATGACTCCTTTCTTGATGGACCCATTTTCTTTTCCGGAAATTTTAGCATATTTCATCTTGTTTAAAGCGTAAACTGGGATATTTGGAGCACCACAATCACGGAGGTCTCGTTCAGCATCGAATTTGAGATCAGAGGAGACAGAGAGCCAGATCGCGCGTTTACGACCCTAAAAGATTTTAAAAATAGGAGATTTCTTATGGGACACATTGCTCACCTGCAAATAGTTCTCAAAAATGATACAAGCCACCGTTCGACCCTTTCCAACACCAGCACCATCACCAATTAAATATCCATATCTCTCTCCTGAAGGCATTCGTCGCTCGTGCATCTGACAGGCATAAATGACAGCTTCTAACTGAAGTGCAGAGATGTGTCCCATATCGATCAAATACTCGGGAATCGAGATTTGATATTTGACGTCTGGCGGGGAGACACTGGAGAGGGATGCGGATTCAACGACACTGTCAGGATGGGCCATTCCGGAACGAAGTTTTGCTGGGGTGTACTCGGAATAGGTTTCTGCATAGCCAAGGTTCTCTTCATCATCCTCCAAATCATTCTTTCTCTGCTGCAAAGCCTCATCTCTTCCCACTTGATACGCCATCCTCATCTCATCCTTGGCCTTCTGCGACTTGGTTTGTGGCTGTGGAGTGACTGGAATTCTAGGTGACGGCATCCCTGATGGTCCTGGAATTCCACGCATCACAGAATTCGTCGGAATGATTAGACGTCCGTTCGGCGCGACTTGCGGAAGTTGTTGTGGATCGTACCCACCGACCATTCGAGAGATTCCAGCGTTGGTAGATGATCTATTCAAAACCATTCGATTCTGATGTTGACCAACTTGATATTGTTGTTGCTGCATGTGTCTAGCCTGGATAACCCCTGCACCAGGTGTCTTTGCCTGCTGGAAACTTCCAGAATTTCCAGGATTCTCTTCCATGTACTGAAAAGACGGCGTGGAATTCGACACATGCAATGGCTGCGGTCTCAAAGCGCCACGTGACACAATTCGGCCTCCAGACGTCTGAATGGCTCCTCGAGCGACCACCCGGTTCAGCGGTTGATGGTGTACCATTGTGGATCCGCCACGTCCAACAAGATTTACACGATATCCAGGCGCAGATACACCATTCCCACCTCCGTATGTCCCTCGAACTGCATGCCTGACGACCATTCCACCTCTCTGAGCTTGTCCTCCTGGCACTGTTCGACGGATCAAGTGGCCTCCGGATCCGCTAAGCGCTCTATACACCTGCTCCCTTCCGTGACCTCCACTGGCTATCATTCTGGATCCTGGAATTCCGCCTGTGCCTCGTGTCCCGTTTGTGACGATCCTCTTGACTAGTAGTTGTCCATTAGGTCCGGTTTGATTCCTCACTACCATCAAACGCTCTCCGTTCTTATTTACTATGGTGTTACCGACACGAACCGATTGTGGACCTGTTGATGATCTGGCCATTGCTCCGCGAGCAGCCACAGCGGAAGCAGCGACGGGGCTCAGCAATCGATAGATTTTTTCGCCATTCTCGTTCACCACAGCCTAAAAGAGTTGTAGGTTATTTTGGAAATCAAAATTTCTCCTACCTTCAAATACTGCGTCTGCAGTCCATCCTTTGTCTGTACAGTTCGTTTCACAATTGAACCAGGTGTCACTGGCAAGCTCTTTCTGGTTAGTGGTGCAGTAATCCCTTCTGATGTGACTGGAGACCCTGTGTGAGATCGTTGAGAAGCCAGCGAAGAAACAACACGTGAAGATACTGCAGTTGATGTGGATGGAGTACTTTCTGGTTCTTCTTTTATCACTTTTGGATCTGAAATTTCAGATGACGTTGGATGATCCTCTTCAGGAGGCGTTGATGGTGGCTCTTCATTTTTGGGTTCCGGAGGCAGTTGTTTTCGAGGGATCACCTGGAAATTTGAATTTGAAAATGTACAAAAAAGTATTTTTCAGTTCTTATTCGGATATTTTGACCATTTTTAGGAGCCTGGAGCTCAACTGTGACGTTTGAAAATGGCCAAAATGGCTGAAAATCAACGGTACTGTATGGTCGCTTTTAAATAATTTCCTGACATTTTTTAAAACAATTTATAGGTTGTTTTCCACTTATTTTTAATCTTCCAACTCTTTTTTTCCCCAAAATTCCTACCTGAACTTGCGGATAATACAACGGCTCCTCTAAACTTTGACTTCTTGCCGGCGTAATCGTACACCCTCCGTCCTCCTCGTCCATTCCGAAAAACGACGTCGGAGCACCGCCATCTTCTGCAGAAACGAACGGTGTATTCAGCGGAGTGTTATAATAGGTCGTCGCCGAGTGGGCGGAGTCATTCGAATGCGAATCGTCGAAAAAGTGATTATTCGTGGATGAGGAGGAGGAGGTTGGATATGATGTGGGTGGAGCGCTTTGTGTGACTACCGCTTCATCGTGAGCGCTGGAAATTCATTTTTCAGGTTTTGGCGGCAATTGAAAGTTTCAAAAAACCTTACCTTCCAGAAGTGCTCGGTACTGGTGACGGTGCGCATAGAAACTCTTCGAGACCCGCCTCGGTTAACGCTGCTGACAGAATATCGTCCATTTAGATGGTATTGTCACGTCTTCTAGTGGAAAAAGCAGAATCTTCAGATGGGGTTTTTGAAGAATTGCAGGGCGAAGATGGTGACGGTGGCGGGGGTTTTTTTTTTGAGAAATTTCTTAAAGAAGATTTAAGTTGAAACAGGTGAGAAGAATCGTTTTAGAGAGAAAAAAGCGGAAAGAGAAGTTTTATAGGGAAAAAGAGCTGGACATTTGGATTTTTTAAATTTTTGAAAATGCGATTCCGAGTCAATTTTTTAAGCCAGAAAGGAGTGAAATCTCGAAAATTCGATTTTCCGTTTTGTTAATTTTTTTAAAGTCAAAACAATTTTGCGACACAAATATTCAGAGTTTCCCATATTTCAGCGATTTTAAATGTATTTTTGCGGGTTTTGTCTGGAAATTACATTTTTTGTATATTTTTTTTGTTTCAGGAACCTAATTTTTCAGTTTTGCTCTATTTTAAGTTTTTGAAAGTGAATTTTTCAAATTTTCAAGTCAATTTCGTCTGTTTTTGAGCTAAAAATCGTGTTTCTTACAGCTTTTTTGCTTTTAAAAAATCACATTTTTCACTATTTTCAATACCCATTGTTTGATTCCTTCAAAAAAAGTATATAAAAAACGATAAAAAGGACAAGATAAGAATCAGAAGACGTCGTTGTATGTATCGTCTTCTATTTTTGTTCCTCTCTTCAATTTTTGACTTTCGCCTCTGTGTGCCGAAATATGAAAATCACAGCGGATGGACACAAAAACGAGAAGAATGGCGCCGCGCGCCCAGGGTGAGAGAGTGAGGAGTTCGAAGAGACGCAGAGATAGAGGGAGCGGAGAGGGAAGAGAGATAGAGAAGAGAAAAGTTTTTTGAAAGGGAAAAGTAATCAATCAATCAGTAAGAGTACAAATTGGTAAGATCAAAAACCATTACGCGCTCTATTGATGAAATTTAGTGCTTTTGCTACAGAGCGCATTTGAAGCACTCAATATTTTGAAATAGTTTAAAGCAACGTTATATTAAAATTTTTGAAATTCAAATTGAGAATTTTTAATGGAATAATTCTGCGCAAAACCCAGATTTCCCACCAACTTTGGCCAAATAAATCTCCGAAAAAAAACCGAAAACATATTATTCAGACAGTTTCTTCTCTGGCGACCTTGACGGTACAATAGTCATCCGGTCTCTTTTTCTTATTGGATATAAAAGAAAAAATATGTTTAATGGCCTAAAAAATTTGTAATGAATTTAAAAAAATGATGAAAAACTTTTTTTTACTGTTTCTTATTTACCGTTTCAGGACAAGGGGTGACTGGTTGTTAACTACAGTAACCTGAATTCAAAGGTGTTCGGATTAAAAACAGAAACACAATAAAGCCAAGACAGGAGCGACTTACTAATTGCCATTATTCTCAAATTAAAATTGATTTTTTGATCTCTCAAATTTGCTTATTCGATTTCTTGATCTTCCAGGCTGGAAGACTTCCAGCTACGATCCGGAAAAATTGTCTGCCTTCTAGAAAGTTCTAGAATCACCCATAGATCTAACTGATTCACTACACATGGCCTATATGCAAATTTCTGCCCGTAATACCGCCCGTTGGACGAGGAGAGCAGATAGAGAACAGAATAGAGACGTAACAGAGAAATAAATAGAAATTGTGGATTGTGAGGTGAGAAGGGTCCATTAAGGCTTTCTGGGGGAAAAGGGACCATTAGATCTTGTCAAAAACATCAGGACCTGGTACATATCTCAAGTACATCATATCCTCTTGAGAGGTGTCAAATTTGATGCATCCTTTAAGATCTACAGAGAATATGGGAATAAATAGGCTCATTAGCGAATATAAAAATTATTAAAATGTGTAGAAAAAGATGTAGAATCATATAGAAGCGGAGAAAATCTCAATTATCGTCCATTTCTGGAAACTTCTGAAAAGTTCTCGAGTCNTNNNNCNNNTCNCCNCCNNAACTGNNNAATCNNNNAAAATCCAGGTTTTATTTGCGATTTTTTCCTCGATTTTTTGCAAAATTTTTAGACCTTTCTAGGTTTTTCAGCTATTTTTGAAGTCTCATTTTAGATTTTTCCGGTTTTTTTGTCTGTGATTTTTTTGTCATTTAACGAGAGGATGTTGGCGAAGATATTACTGTAGAAGCTGTTCTTTGCGAACACCATCACGTCAAAATGCAGACAACAGAAAAACTACAAAAGGAAATAAGCTTTGTATAGTAATCTACAGTAATCTTCTCGAATACCGTTCCAACAAATTTCATTCAAAAAATTCGGAAAAATCGAAAACGAATCTGCAAAAAAAAATGAAAAACCGAAAAAGGCCTACAAATTTTGCGAAAAAATCGAGGAAAAATCGCAACAAAAACCTCGAATTTTTCAGAACTTTTCTGATTTTTAATTTTTGGCGGCGATTCGAAAAAAGACTCGCGAACCTTACAGAAGTTCCAGAAATGGGCGAAAAGTGATTTTTAAGGTTTTTCGAATCTTTCCTCTGTTGCTATATAAATCTTTATATTTTTCTACACATATTGAAGCAAGTTTTAACGAGGGGCGTGGCTAGGACATATTCTAGATATCGTCACTTTGACCTGAATTATTTTCGAGATATCGAGGAATTATGAACTGATAAACTATTGATGACATCATAATGAACATTTTGATAGTATTTGAAATCTTTATATATATATCTCCCACCGGAAGCTTGGGGGGAAAGTGCAAACTCGTTTTTATTTTTCACCTATGCTCACGAGTACAACAAAAAATGATGACATCAATAGAAATAAAGGCGCAAAAGAGACCCAACTGTTCTCATGATCTCTTCTATGACCCAATCAAAAACTAATGGGGCTCATTTTAGGCCAATTCGCACAAAATTTTTTCGAATTTTCTCCGCTTGAGAGAGGTGAAACAGGCCAGACTGCCCCCTGTAGGCAATAAAGAATGAAGTTGGAGAGATAAGAGGCACAGAGAACGATAGTGAGAGACGCAGAGAGGGTGATGATCCAGGTAACCAACTAGGACCTTTGTTTATTTTTCTTACAGAAAGATAATGAGAGAGAGAGAGAGAGAGAGAGAGAGAGAGAGAGAGAGAGAGAGAAGAGCCTGTGCAAAAACAATGATATGAGTCACTGATAAACTGTGCCATCTTGGAACTTTTATATTTACAGCCTTTAATGTCTCTGATTATCAAAAATAACCATTTATATATTTTCCAGCACCGCATGGCACCCAGAGATACCCAAAAAACGGGAGGGGGGGGGGCCCTCTTTTTTGACTTTTTTGCATTTTCTGACTTGCGCAATAATTCTAAGCATGTTGGAAATATTTTTGAGTTGTCTGGACTTCTAGAAAGTATAAAATAATATAGTAAAATAAAAATTCCTGTTATTTGCTTCTAAGCTTAGGCTAAAATGCCTTAGCAGTTGAAACATGAATCTTTGGATTTTTTAAACCAATTCTCGGGAAATTTTTAGGAAATGAAGCATTCTCAGTCAGCAATTTTTGATGTACTTTGCATTTTTCATCTCTTTTGGCTTTTGTGAGATGAGGCACCCAAATTTTTTGAATTTGGCGCCAAAATGCGGGTGTCCCCAGAGGAAGGGAAACAAGGCGTTTTTGCCTAAGCCTATGATTTAAAGAAAAAAAATTCAGCCTAAGATTGCAATTTTCACTGATTTTCGCCGATTTCAGAATTTTTTTAGCTGAAATTTTTTTTTCAAAAGTTTTTTGATTTTTGCTTTAAAGGTGGGGGGACATGAAAAAAAAATAATGTTCTCGAAATTCCGTTTAAATATGCCTCTCGAGGAGTTGAACTTGTGAGGGCGATGATTGAGGGTGCGGCGCCGCTACCGACTGAGCCACGCGGGCAAAGAGAAAGCGCACGCCCGATTGCATACATAAAGGCGAGGACGACAGCTGTACGCAGAGTGACATTAAGTGTTGTACACCGTGACGGTAGAATGCATACTCTAGCTACAAAAAAACTACGAAAAATCTCCTGTCCCCCCACCTTTAAATTACAGGCTCAGCCAAAACGCCTTGTTTCCTTCCTCTGGGACACCCGAAAATAGCGCCAAATTTAGTAAATTTGGGTGCCCTCCCCTCCCCCTCAACTACGTTAGCGTTGGCGTTTTAGCCTAAGCCTATAATAAAAAAGCAAATAATAGGAATTTTATACTTTCTAGAGGTCCAGACACCTCAAAATTATTTCTAACATGCTTAGAATTAATGGCGCGTTCAAAGTTGATTTCCAGGAGTAATTTCCTGGAAAAACGCTGTCCAAAGCTGCCATTGTTTTCCAGAGGCCTCCGCTTCGAGACCCGCCGTAAATCGACATGAATCAACAGGAAGAACACAGTCAAAACGAGTGATACAGTAGTTTACTGTTGCTGTAAATCTGGAAAACAATCGCAGCTTTGGACAGCGTTTTTCCAGGAAATTACTCCTGGAAATCAACTTTGAACGCGGCATATGCGCAAGTCAGAAAATGCCAAAAAAGTCAAAAAGTAGTGCCCCCCCCCCCCCCAACCAACATAGCGCCAAGGGGATTAGTGTTATTAGAGAGGGGATTCGTAATCTGAATAAAATAGAAAAACTTCTAGTTTTTTTCTATTTAGAAAGCCCATGTATCGAAAATTGGCAAAAAACGAGCGAAAAATTCAAGTAAAATGAAATATATACGGTATTAAAGGTTCATGCACTTATTCACGGAAAACTTTGCTGCTGAACCAACGATGCGCCTTCAAAATGTAATCCAAAAATGAGTTTAAAATGATTATTACCCGAAAATTATGCTAAAATACGCTTTAAAAAGGCCCGAAAACTGATTTTGCCAGTTAAAAAAAATGCTAGGCCTAAAAAAACAAATGTATTATTATTATTAAAAAAGACCAAAAACCTCATAAAAGATGCGCGAAAACCTGATGTGCTCTTCTCAATTGATCTATAGAGCATCTGCTGTCCCTTCTTTTCTCAATTGTCTGTCTCTTCTCCTTCTGAGAATATGACAGGTGCAAAACCATCTGGTCCCCCCTCATCCGTCCCTTTATTTTCACTTCTTTTAGGACCCATCCCGACAGGGTAGTTAAGATTACTATCTGAGCTCAGAACAAGAAATTACAGTCTATTCAATAGAAAACAGTGAGGAATTTTTTTTTGATTTCTAATCAAAAAAATTAATGATAGCAAGAGAAAAATCGGTGACGTCACTCTTTCCACTGATCGCAATCGATCTAGAAATTTCTATAAAAGAGAACAAAAAAAATCTAAAAATTTCGCAACTCTTCGAAAAAAAGAGGAAAATAAAAATCATCGGTTTGGTGAAAGCGGGGGGAGAATGGAGAAAAAAGCGGGAGGAGGTTGTCTTCCCCATTTTCTTCCTTCCTCATCCTCCGTCTCTTCTGTCAATCCACGTGTCTCACTCCGTCCTAGTACAAGTGCCCAAGGAGAGAGAAGAGAGGCGCATAGCATCAAGACATTTTTCAGAGGAAAATAAATGAATACGTATTGCCTTGGATGAGGAATTTAATGAAGAGGAGATGCTCAATTTTTGCTGTTTCCAGTTGAAACAAAAGAGAACTTGGATTTTTCATTTATGTAATGCCAAGGCCTAAGTTCACCGAGGGAGAAGAAAAAAACGGGGGCAAAAATAAACAATCAAATGGGGAGGAGATGAGAGCAAACGTTTAGAAACGGCGTTCGACACCCAAATAGTTACTAAAAATTACGAGAAACTGAAAGATACATATGTAAAACTTTGTGTAGGGATGCAATTTAAAAAAATTATTTTAATATTTAGTTTCCCTTAACGAAAGCAACTCCCTTGGCGATGTTCTTGTTAAGTTCTGGAACGGAGGCATCGATGAGCTTCTGCTCAAATGCAGAAACCTTTCCAACTCCCAAGATCTTCTCAACTCCATTTGGTCCCAATTCAACTGGGGTCGAGAAGTACTCGACTCCCTTGACGGCGTCAGATGCCACGTAAGCACACTGCACATTCTTCTCTCCCTTGATTCCTCTCACCAAAGCGTTGGCGAAACGAGCTCCAGCAAGAGCCATAGAAAGGGTAGCAGACCCAGCTCCGGCCTTGGCGTTGACGACTTCGGTTCCGGCGTCTTGGATTCTTGGGGTGAGCTTGGCGATCTCTTCCTCAGAGAATTTGGTGGATGGGGTGACTTGGGAGAGAAGTGGGATGATGGTGATTCCGGCGTGTCCTCCGACGACTGGAACGACGGTCTTGGTGGCATCGTGTCCCTGAAAAAATTGAAGTTGAATCCCTTTCGGATTTACAACTTCATAGTTTTGTGTGTTCTTATCTCTATTTACTTGTCTCTTTCACTTTATTTATATTCACACCGCACGTACGTGTGGAGAGGAAAAGAGATAGAAGTCGCGAAACACCTCAAACACAGAGAACGTTCGAAATTTGTGAAAACCGGAAAACTCCCTCCCTAACTTAAAACTCGAATTCATAATTTGGTATTCATAATCTACGCTTCTGCAAATCGCAGACTTTCCACCTACCTTGAGCTCGGAGACGAAAGCTTGAGATCTGACGACATCGAGGGTGGTGACTCCGAAGACACGCTTTGGATCGTAGACTCCAGCCTTCTTGAGAACCTCCGAAGCAATTGGGACAGTGGAGTTGACTGGGTTGGTGATGATAGCAATGAGAGCCTTTGGCGACGCCTTGGCGATAACGGCAGCCAAATCACGAACGATTCCGGCGTTGGTGTTGAAAAGATCATCACGAGTCATTCCTGGCTTACGTGGAACTCCGGCTGGGATGACAATAACGTCAGCGTTCTCAACGGCGGCGTACAACTCCTTTGGTCCGGTGTGAGCGGTGACTTTAGCGTTGGAATCAATGTGGGAAAGATCGGCAGCAACTCCGGGGGTGTTGACGACATCGTAGAGGGCGAGATGAGCGACGAGTGGATCTTGCTTGAGAAGGAGACCCAATGGTTGGCCGATTCCTCCAGCGGCTCCGAGAAGAGCGACCTAGAGTTTTGATTTTAGATTATTTACGATAAATATTGAAGAAAATATCAAAATTCAAACCTTTGGTGCCTGGCTGGAGTGACGGACAGAGACGGCGCGGAGTCCGGAGTTGGCAGCAGCCTGTACGAGGGTCTTTGCTGGAAGGGCCATTTTCTGTAATTAGAATTTATTGCTTGTTGTGCCACATATTATGGGAACAATCAAGGAATTGCGAATAAACTATTCGAGTGGCTTCCGACACAAATTTCACAAGTTTTTCATTTAAATTCTTTTACAAAACTGATCAATACATCACAGAATGCAATGAAGATCAAACGAATCGAAAATTTTCTTACAAAACCTCTAAAAAGATAGTAAAAAGGACAGAAAATGTTCACATTTTGTTTGCCTTTCCGTGCTGATCGTTCTTTGAGTTTAAAGGCGCATACGCTTTTCAGGCGGCTTGAAGCGATTTCGCTGTGAGACCCGAGCGCGGAAGTTTGAATTTAGATGTTCTTTGTAGTGTGCTGTGTCGATTGTTGACAATCGACAAAAATCGACGAAAATCGTCAAAATCGGTGTCGATTTCATCGACTCGATCAAAAATCGACATTCAAAAAGTCGACAGAAAATCGACTTTAATCGATTTTTGTCGACTTTATTGTCCGAGAGGACTACACGCTCGGTGACCTAGAAACTGCCTGTGGCTGGAGTACTTTTCATGAAAAACAGGCATTTTTCAACTGCGGCGTAAATAGCCGACACTTTTTCGGTAGTTTCCAACGGTGTTTGGACACCCTCTTTTGCGCGCGCGTTCAAATTCTAATCGCATGCCGATTCTTCCCAATCAATAGAGTAAATAGCCAAGTATTTACCATGAATATTCTTCTTTTTTCCGTTCATGTCTTGTTTAAAAAATGTAACCACACTGAATTTTTTTGAAAAAAAGCAATTTTATTCAAATACAACAAAAATTGGGCAACAAATAACAAAGAAACAGTAAAAACAACAGATAATAGCAACAAAAAACAATAGAATGATTGATAGTCAATCATAATCCACAAATAGAACGTTACAATGGGCGCATGAACGCTGACCAAGTGCACATTCCCAATGAGCTGGAAGCTCACACTCTGGACACTTCTTCCAGTAGTTCCACTGAGAAGAGTCTTCCATTGGATCCGCATCTTCTGGCATAGGTGCGTCAGCCTTAATTTTCACTCTAAATGAACAAAAATGTATTTTTACAGATAACCTCCAAACAAATGGCACAAATGGAAAGTTCGTTGATCGGGACAAGCGGGGCTAACGAAGTGGATGGTGGACAAGGACGGGAATAACGACGAGGCTGAAGAAGAAGAGATAATTCAAGACGCTTTTGATTTTTTGGGGGAACCTCTAGTCGGATATGACTGTTCATGACGTCTCGAGCTGAACATTTCGTAGAAGAAGGTCTGCGGGGAGGGAGAGACGGTTCCGAATTCGGAAGAAGAGCCATCACTGAGCTTAAAGCTTTCTGAATCTCATCTGCAGCAGAATGAAGATTCTTTTTCATTGATTGACGAAGATGCTCTTCCAGAGCGGAATGTGCGTTTATCAACTTATCAAAATTTTTTAACATGATATCTTTTTCAACCTGTCCAACGTCGCCGGAAGAAACTGGAGAATCTGGCCGAATCGACAGAGAAAAAGAAGAAGATGGAAGGGGACTGGATGGAGTGTCGAAGATCGGAGAGTGGCAGGAAGTATATGGATCCGGTTGCAAGCGGCCTAAGCAGAGGTAAATTTTTTAAAATAAAAATTGGGATCATAGTACCATTGCTAAGAAGCACCATGTGGACGTGTTTGCAAAACACACACCTGCTTCTTGGACAAGACATGTGCATGAGTGTTGGTAACCACAGGCCTCACAGTGGCAATGGCAATTCTCCTAAATATTTTTTGGGTGCAAAGACAATAATTACGAAAACAATTCTCACGTTTTTCAGACACAAGCATGTCGGCTTCTCAACTACTCGATACATATTCTCGACCTCTCCTCCAACTCTTCCAACCAGAAACTCTCGCTCTCCCTCAAATTTTGCTGGCTCAGGAAGGATGACATAGTCTTTGAGAGAAGCAGCAGCAACTCGTCAGTTCTTGTGGTTCTTGGACAATCTCGGAATCTCTTTGGCCAATTTTCTTGCAATCTAGGTAAGCATTTATGAACGGATTGTGGGGGAAAAAACCTGAATAAAGTTTTTCTGGATAATTCAATAGCTCTGTACAGTTGATGGACAAGAGTGTCAGCTCGAATATTTTTCACTCCATCAAGAACTTGCGTCTGAATATTTTTGTACTATACTGCTCTAATTAAACTCATTTTACTTTCAGAAGTGAATTCCAGGCCTCGGTGTACATGGAAGTGTGGAAGATGATGCCTTCTCGCTCGACGGTGGGCCATTCTTCAGACTTTGCTTCAAAATTGATGATTTGTTATGGTGAGTTTTTAACTTTCAAACCTAAGTATCTTGAACGAAAATATTGCTCGAATTGATCTCCTTCCCCGTTTGGTAACTTAGACAAAAAATGAAGAATTTCCGAATCTTTTAGTGAAGTTGGACTGAACTGCTTCTCGTAAAAGTTCCCTCAATTTCGGCATCAGTTTAGCAAACCCTCATCTTTTCCTCTTCTCCAAATTTCATATTTTCCAGAACAAATCGTCCATCATGCATGTTCAAATGGTCCACAAGAACAGTTCTGGTACTGACCGTCACTGACCGTTCTTCGTCGTGCATAGCTTTGATATGCTTGCGCATATTAGAAGCATCAGTGCAATGAGAACATTTCGGACAGTTCAATTTCAGCTCGGACAGTCTCATTTTTACCTAAAAATCGATTTTAACAAGCGGAGCCACATTTAATTTTCGAAAACAAAAAATCAATAATGTGACAGATACTGTATTATTCCAGGTACGCGTACACTCAATGGGCATGGGCACCCCGGAAACCATGAAATTCTGCAAAATACCGTGTCACATGGATTCTCTTCTCTCTATTCCCCCTAAAGAGTTTTATACACTCGAAATTCTACTATTCCAGCTATTTATTCTATTTTCTACTCTTATTACTATTATTCTCCCTTTTTGGTAAGTTTCCCATTGGTGAGTCTTTGAATCATATGTTTCTGAGCCTCCCTTTGAATAGTTAGTGCCAGCTGTATCACAAATACGATTGGCAGGCCTTTCCATTCATGGTTGAAGGCGATGAAAACAATTTTTTTTCATTTTTTACGATTAACATCGAAATTTGAGATTTTCCTTCGATCTTTGTAGTTTCAGAAACTTTATCGACTTCTGCATCGCTGCTTTTTTCCATTTTTGCTGAAGTTTCATGCCATATCTGTGCTAGTCAAGAATTTATCATTTTAAATGTCCAGAAGAAATGTTTATTATACAGCAACAGTTGAGTTTTTATTGAAAAATTCGAAAAGTTATTTCTGCCGATCGATTCTCCGTTCAAATGCATAATGAACTTTTCCCTTTTCCAGATTTTCCTGAAAATTGTCTTCTTTTTCTATTTTATTTTCAATAAAAATGTTTTCATTCTTTTCCTTCTTTCCTGTCAATATTTTTCTATTTTATAACTTCATTCGGTGTTTTCTTTTTTGAACACGCGCGCAAAAGATGGCGTGCAGATGCGCTCCGCTGGAAACAACCGAAAAAGTTTCGGCTATTTACGCCGCAGTTCCATTTGCTCTCACAAGGAAGCGCGCTTGCAAATCCGGCGGGAAATTGTCAAATTTAAATTTCATTTTTTGGAATTTAGAAGGGGCGGAATTATCCGTTGTTCTTTTATTTGCATAATTATGAAATTTTTGAATATTACATCAACTTTTTGTCAGGATTTTCCTCTATTCATTCTATTTTTAGCGAGGAGCAGTCGGTCGACATGAGTGAACACAATAAGGTAGTTATAAATGTATTTATTTCTAAATCGATTTATCTTTTTTAGAGCTCATCATCAGATGAGTCTTGGCCGAAGCTAGCTTTGCCATACAATGAATTTGATGCTTTGATCTCGGACATTAACAATGAAGAACTTGTCGAGGTTCGTTGAATTTTTACTATTGTATCTGATAAAATTTTTAAAAAGCTTTATTTTTCAGATTGGGCTCACCAAGGGTATTGGACATCTCAGCTCCGGAACGTTTTCTTCCCCTGCTTTTCCCGTAACCGGAACGATTCACGGCTTGAACATCCGATACATGGTCCCTCTAATTTGCCAACGTGCCGGTAAACAAAATTCGATATCCATTACCTTTTCGTTCTTTATTCAGGCAAGCCGAATTCTAAGGCCGTATTCATCTGGTTCTTGGTAGATACCGGTTCTCCCTTCACTTGCCTTAGCGTCAAGTCGCTAGAAAGTCTCTTTGGTGAAGGCAATGTCACTCATTCTCGCTTCGATGTTGCCATCCAGGTTTGGTTTTACTTTTATTTGCAGTTTAAAGTTATTTGTTTAGGACGAGAAGAGCAGAATCGAATGTGAAGTTTCTAAAGCACATTTTCAAGAAGTCAATATTCTTGGGGCGAATGCCATGAGAAGATTGAAGTTGTCTATCGTTGTGGATTGGGAGGAGGAAACGTTCAAGCTCACCAAATCATGATTTTTTTCTGTGCGATAAATTCGATAACCATCATCCCATATTATTTCACCATGCATGATAAAAGGCTTCTATTGTTAGCGCACCTTTTCGACCATTTATTTCGACCACATTTTCAAGGACCGTTTCCCCATTTTTGAAAATTAATGAAAATAATCTCAGAGGTTCGACGGGAGAAAACTGGGAGAGAAAGGGGGAGAAAACGCCGAGAGAACCAGGTTCGAACGGCTGCAAAGCTGCTAAAATAGGCGCACCTGTAAAGGAGGAGCGTCGTTGGCAAAAACAGTTTTTTGTAATTTATAGTATTCAAAGTTTTATTTATGCATGTTCTATTTATGTTTTGGTCTTCTATAGAATACTCTTTTAAGATCGACAAAAAAAACGACGATTTTGAGAATTTCGAATTCGGAGAGAGCTCTGCAGGTAACATTTTTTCCGTCTTTTTCAGCGTTGAATGGTTTTGTAAAAACTATGAAAGAGATAACCGAAAAAGGAAGAAGAGATCGATAAATTGCTCTCACCTCAATTTACAGTATTTCAAAAGGTCTGAGTTTCGGAAACCGCGGCTTGTAGTGAGCAGGTTAGTCTGGAAGTCTAGTGACAAAAAACATGCGTGAAATTGCAGGCTTTCAATGGAATAAAGAAAACGAGTTATGACCCGATCAAAACGATTTAAATATATCGGGATTAATTATATAAAACGAGTGATCTAATGAATGGATTTTGATTTGCGGCATTCTCAGTACGGTAATTATGTACATGGCTGTTGAACTCATCCACTTAAATAGCGAAATTGGTTCGTCATGCCGAAAAAAATTCATTTATGATCTAAGAGTATACAAATAAACTTCTCAGGAGTCGCTTAAAGCGACTCGCTTTTCTCGTCATTGTTTCCTAAATATTGCGAGAAACATTCGGTGAAAGTTTGCCGTTTAGTGCAAAATCTCTCGGATAACGTCACTCGGAATCAACATGAAAAACTTGGGAACCTTACGTTGTCAGGAAAGATAGAGAATATCACGATTTATTGGAAACGATGAGTTCACAGTGTAGGCTTTGAGTGAGTTTATTGACAACATCACATACCGTAAAACCTCTAATAGAACGACACCCGGATCGTCCACTTTGAGCCTATATATCTCATTTTCTGTGAAAGATATCAAAAAGTGGCTAACTAGTAAAATGTTGCTGATATCCTGATAAACATTTTACTAGTTAACCACTTTTTGATATCTTTCACAGAAAATGAGATATATAGGCTCAAAGTGGACGATCCGGGTGTCGTTCTATTAGAGGTTTTACGGTAATTAAAAACCTTGTTCTTTCAGCTGAATCGTCTTTGATTTCATAAAGAATATTCATCCTATCTACAACCCCAAGCCTATGATGATTGAAAGAGAAATTACAAACCTGTAAACAATGAAAAGCTAAAGAATTCGAATTGGGATTTTATTTTCTGTAGTACTGAAAGAAAGTGCATTTAGCTTGCACTAAGAAGCGAAGAAGAAAACTTATTAAATGAATTTCAAGGAAGAGTACACATCGTCCGCTAGAGGACATAAATGTACTATAAACAAAACGGTATGAACACTTCCATTTTGCAGACTTATGACCTATATCTCATTCCAGAGCTTCAGTCGCCATAACGCTTCAAGCTGCAAAAATACGAGAGCACTAAAGAAGGTTTGCAGGAGAGTTCCGGATATCGTGATTCACTTCGAAATTTTAAATACTGCGATACCGAAGCTGAGAATAAGAAGTTAGCTCACATTTCTATTATTTCATGAGGTTATTTTTTTACTTTTTAGTTATTTATACTTATATTCATCCTATTCATTCGATTCAATAAATATTTTTGTTAATTAGTTTGATTTGATTGTTAAATAAGGGGCGAACATTTAAATTTCACTGAAAGCGCGTGCAAACGACACTCCGCCGCTCGTTCGAACCAGGAGAGAAGCTGGAGAGAACACAGTGACATACCAGTTCGACCCAAAACCTCTCCCAGTTTGAACCGATATCTCTCCCAGTTTTCTCCCGTCGAATCTCTGAGTGGTTCTTCCTTAACATTCTCTCATCCCAAAAGGCGTTTTTCAGCTTCTTTCCGCATGTTTTCTATTAAAAAAAAAGAAGAAGGGTTGAAAATAATTATATTTATTGATATTTGATAGAAAATTGATATTCTCAAAATTTAATAGACTTTTTCATATCCTCCAGCACCATATCTGCCATTTTCCTTGCCGAATTCATGATGACTCTATCAGAATCCTCCTCTGTTGGCAACATTTTGTCGATATTGAGATTCGCCACGGGGCGTGGCTTCGGAGCCACTCTAGCGATCCGTTGTCTAGCTTTCATCAAATTGTCATCTATCAAAAATCCTCTTCTTTTCGATACAATCGACGTGGCGATGCTACCAGGCGGATGAGGTCTTCTGAATTTCTCGTTTCGATTCATAACGTCTTCAGAATCTATATGTCGCCTATTAACCACTTGTTGAATCGATGTGGCTAGTCGATGTTGCCTCCGAGTCTGAATCCCGTAGTCATCCCTAACCAAAGAGAGGGGAGTTTGGCTCCGCCCATTTTGATTAGCTCCGCCCACTTTCCGTCGTTTCTCTTCTTTCTCCAGATGTTTTTCTATCCTTTCCATCTCTGCCAGCACTCGTAAATTGAACTCATTCGCTGATTTTTCCACAGATTTTCCAATATTTCTCAATAACTTCCGATCGTTTTTACTCCGAAAACTTTCAGCGAATCTAGAAGTTTCCGCGGAAATTGTGAAGAATAATCGGCAAAACTTGTGCATATTTGGTAGAAGACTAGAGATTTCCAGAGAAGGTTGGCTGGAAATTTCGAATTTCTAGGATATTCTGGGTCCTTTTAAAAATGCATACTTTTGAAATTTCCTCCCGAACGTCTTCAGCACTAATCCCATTCGTCTACACGCCGCTTCTATCTGACTCCCAATGGAATTTCGGTTTTCTCGATTCTCCATTTTTAGATGTTTCAATAGCTCAACTCTCAAACCAGAGTCGAATAGTTCACCGGCTTCTCGATTTTGATGGGATTTCTCGTTGGAGAGGAAGCAATTCCTGGGATCTACTGCAAAAAAATGTAAAAATTAAATTTTAAAAAAAAAATCAAATTTACCATTTGATTCAAAAATATCTATAACATATTCAATAGTACTAGTTAGTTCTAAAATCGCTGCTTGTATCGATATGATAACTGAATTTGGGCGACTTCCAGACCCAGAAGATGACGTGGAGGGCTTCTGTAACTTAAAGAATGCTGCCTGTTTGTCCGGATGTCCTTACTCTTAAGTCAATCCCCTCATCCTCTTGCTCTAAATTCCTCCGCACTTCTTGTTGCCATTTTTCTAGAAACTTCTGCTTGCCGAGCAAAAATTTGATGACCTGCTGAGACGCTAATTCTAGTGCTACCTCATCTGACATATCTGGAAAACTTGGGGGGACATTAGGTCATCTGAAAATTCAAGAGAAGAGAAAAAGTAGAAAAAATGGAAGTTTACCATTTTCAGAATATACAAAAAATATAACAAAATTTGAATATATTCATAGAAAAAAATGCAATTTTTAAAAATATCACAGGGAATAATTGGTATTTTAAGACATATAAAATCAAAAATAAATGAAAAATAAATCCGAATTTGTGCATTTGCGCGTTCGGTGTTTGCGTACCCAGCGTCTTAACTGAATAATGTGTCGTAAGATAAAATTCTACGTACGTAAAGACTCTTTGGCGAAATGCACGAAATCGGAATTTAATTTCTTTTCTCGCTTTCTCTGGTTTTATGTGTCTTAGATTATTTTTTTTTGTGTTTCGTGCATAAATATTTACATCAAATGAATTTCATGCTTTTCATTCATCACAACCAGCAGCAAGGACACAATAACAAAATATAAATTACAATAGATATAGAACAAGAATTTTCAAACGGTTTCAGAACTTTCAGAAGCCTCTTTTTCTTCTTCGTCCTCTTCATTCTTGATAGCTCTAGGCAGAAAATCTAGGTCCGGCCAAGTGGAGCAAAACAGTTTTCGGCACTCCTTAATAACACTGGAATAGTGAATATTGGCATCTACTGGAGGTGCCACGACGACATTCGACCCAAGCCCCGCCCCTTCCGCATCGAATTTCATCGAATTCGCTGTGAACGACATCTTCCAGTAAGGTGACACTTGGGACTCTTCAAATATTTGTTCGGCAAGTGATTCCACGCTTTTTTCGTCGTCGTCACTTTGGGTACCAGTAGCATGAACCAGGACTGTAAATGGCAAAATTAGGGGATTGTCTAGAAATTAGTGGCCTAGAAAATTAGATAACTTACAATGCCCTTTTGGCGCTGTACATGCCTCGAAACCGACTTCAATTAGCCTAGAAATCGTGGATTTCGGTCGAAGAGAAGCCAAATTCAACAGTGTCAAATGCTCTTTTTCCACTTCTTTGATAGATTTATCTGTTGCAAAAACCACTCGCTCGATTTTCTGTACATTCTGAATCGGTACGTCTTTCGGAACGAATCTAGGAGACATGACGACGTGGCGGCAGTTGATGCGCTCGTTGTTGGCGATGATAGCAGTGATTCGATCATTCTCCCTAACCAGAGCTTGAACGGGTCGGCCAAGACAGTAGAGACTTCCAAAAACTGCGGCTAGTCGGCAAAAACACTGCGAGAGCTCTCCACAGCCGTAGAGAGGGAAGAGGAAAGGAGATGGACCAAAGTGTCCGACAGAATCCATGAATTCACAGGACGCCAGCATTCCCTGCAAATAAAACGGTGGTCTAGAAAATCAGAATTTGGCTTTCTGGGCCACTTACACTCATCGCCGTCGGATTTGGTTGCAGTATTCCAATCGTATTGATAATAAAACTTTGTAAAGTCTCAGCCACGCCCATTTGAGCAAGAAACTCTGAAAATGGGCGGTCCGAATAGTCGCCAAGCAGTTGACGGCCTTCTTCTGTGGGTTTTGTGCTCCATTGTGTGCAGAATGTGATGAATTTCATTAGAGCGCGCTTTTCGAGAATTCTGAATCATATTGAATGATTTAGGAGTATTCTAGGCTGTACTCACGATAGAACGCTGCTTTGGAAGATTTCTCCTTTACTACAGGGTACTGGATTTAGCATGATTTTTGCTGAATTTTCAGTGTTTTTGTCTTGGGTCGGGCAGAGTTGTCGATTGACAAGCTTGAATTCGGCATAGTGAGAGACTTGGGAATCGCAAAGGGTTTGGACCTGAAAGTGACCTTTTCTAGGTTGATTATCAGCGGGAAATTCAATTTTTGCATTGAAGGGGAACATCAAAATGTGTAAAAAATGTAGATTCATGTGGCAGCAAAGACAGAATTCGAGAAATTCAAGAAACCTCGACAAATCGCCTGTAAAGCGAAAAAATCTCAGTTCTTTTTTTTGCGATTTTTCGAAAGCAAAATCCGTTTTTCTTGATTTTTTGCATAATTTTTAGACCTTTTTAGGTTTTTTAGCTATTTCTAAAGGCTCTTTTTAGATTGTTCTGGTTTTTTTTTTGTCTGAAATTCGATGGAACGGTGTTCGCGAAGATTACTGTAGAAAACCGATTTCCTTTTGTAGTTTTTTTTTGCAACGTAACAATGCAGATAAAAGCTTTGCAAAAAAAAACAACAAAAGGAAGATCGCTTCCTACAGTAACCTACAGTAATCTTCGCGAACATCGTTCCATCAAATTTCAGACGAGAAACTGGAAAAATCGAAAAATAATCTTCAAAAATAGCTGAAAAACCTAAAAAGGTCTAAAAATTATGCAAAAAATCCAAGAAAGCTTTTCGGAGTATTCAGTTTTAACTGGAATTAAACTATTTAAAAACTTGCCATGTTCCCCTTGGAAACCAGAATCTTGGGCACCAAATCAATCGAGAACCTTCGCATTTGTCCCATCTCCTCCAACTTCTGCTTTATGGGCACGTCATCTGAATCTCGTGGAATCCACGTTCTCTGGATATTTTCTATGACTTCTCGATTTCCCAATTCCACTAATTTTTCGGATTCCAAAAGATGTGCGGACAGCTTTGAGATTTCCTCTTCGGAGAGTTTTGGAACCTGAAAGGATGGCCTAGAAGTTTTGTGATGGCCTAGGAATACCTTGTTCTCTTCCACCTCGTGTATCATTGTCATTGTGAATGACGACCAATCACTACCGTAGTATTCGTTTCTGGAATAAATCGGAATTTTTAATTTTTGCATAAATTTAAATAAATATAATAATTTTACCTATCCAAATGCAGTACCGACAATCCGGCTCGAGCACAAGCCGATGCTAAAATCGCTTCAGGTAGCCCCGTACCTAAAACCACCACATCCACACTTTCAGGCAGTTTTTCGTCCATTTTGGAGCTGAAATTTGTTTAAATAGCTGAAAAAATGGCTAATGATTAAAATACATCGAAAAGAGGTAGAAAACCTAAATCAGAAAAGCAAATAATACAATTTCATAAAAATTTGTTTATGGAGTTTTTTTTGCAGCAAGGAAATGGTGGAAAATATGGGGGATGAAAGACACATTTTGGTAAATTTCAGTGGAAAAAAAATAATTTTTGGAAATGGGCACGGGAATTAGGGAGGTACTGGTACGATCTACTTATTAGCCTATATGGGACGACTGCCCTTCTATTAGAGGGGACTACTAGGAGGGGAGGGATAAAGAGAGACCTGTGTGTTATGTATTGCAAGAGAAATAGATAAAGAAACTATTTGAAAGAAAGAGGGCAACGACCAAATAGTTTGGAATTTTGTAATATTGAAAATTGCGAAATTATTAGTTTTTTGAATTTTCTGAATTATTCCAAACTTCAATAATGGGAACAAACATTTTGGGTCGATGTCCTCCTCTGAAAATCAACAAAAAGAGTATCATCTGTCATAGAGCCGATGCGGTCGGACACGTTCATAGAAAAACATGTAGCTTTGGCAGGAGGCGACGTTGGAGTACGGTACTCGTTGCACCTGAAAATTAGGATTCTTCATGGGTTGTAGATGATTTTTATGTTGAAATTGAGCTAGATTGTGGTAGGAAAAGGTCATCTACTGTATGGTCTAGCATGATTTCAGCTAAAAAATTGAGGTCCCTAGAGTGATAATATTCTTTCAGTTTCAGCTTTATCACAATAATCGTATCACGAAAAATATTTTCGAAAAATATCCGGTGATTCCAAATGGCCGGAAATGAGAAAATGAGGAGAAAGGGATAATATAATATGGAGAGCTTCATATTATAACTGCTTTGTTGTTGTGAGGGAAGAAGGGAAAGGTAGGAGAGGTAACCAAGAAGAGCTCCTCTAGAGGGTACATGGATAATTATAAATTTGTGCATTGAATATAAAGAAGCGAAGGGAGGGATAATGCACGAGCTGCAGAAATGACTTCATTAGAAAAGAAAGAGCTTCCTTCAAAGCGCTTACTTTGGGAATATTGGACTTTTTCGAGCCATAAATTGCACTATTTAGAAAAACCTTACCTGCGCATCACTAGTAAGTACCATGAATGATGTTGAGGCGCTGGTGCCCTTCGGAACGTCACGAAATGACCGGAATATGGACCTCCACGATGCTCACTGACTGCTCGCAGCTGATAAGCATACTTCTGCGTTTCCCGTCTCTCGGCAACAAATGAGCCGCCGCTGAAAAAAGGAGCTTACAGTGATAGATGGCTACAGTAACTAAAAGTCTAGCTATGGAAATGAAAGGATACAATAGTTCTCTTACTCTATCATTGCATAATTGCTACTCAAATCTCCATAGGTGTATGTTGAGGGATGTATTGGTGAACTTCTGGCTCTGGTCTCCTCGGCTCCACCAACAACACGAGATGTTCCATCGGGTAGTTGCCAGCGATTGGACTCATCGTAGGCTTTCTGGAATGCATTATTTTTAATAATTAGAAAATTTTGGAAATTTTAATATTATAATTTCTCTCAATTTCCAAAAATAAACTCTCACCTGATTAATCTTGGGATTCTTCCTAAAACACACATCCTGAAGAGACAAACACTCTCCAAAGTGCACATGCTCTGATAGTTTCATACTTCCATGTGGCAACATTCCAACTCTCTCGATTCGAATGAGCAATGTTTGAGGCAACTTCACGATCCCGTGCTTTTTAAGGAATCCTTGTTGTTTTCGATCGGCTGCTGTACATTTCTCACAGACAGCGTCCCGAATGATCTCGGAGCAGAAATAGCGACGGAGAAGTGCTTCGGTGTTCGTGGAAGTGCCCATTTGAGAATTGGGAATTGTTAGGGTGAGAACTGTGAAGGATTCGTACTTGATGGTCTGGAAATGGAGGAAATGAGTTTGGAGCAGCTTTGAAATTCGTTACAAATTTTCAAAAATGTCTAAAAACTAACCTTATAACCACATCCACTATTACAACATCTAAATTCGGTGGCTGTCAATCCAACACATGGACTACGAAGACCAGCATCGATACGAGCCATTGAGGCGACTCTGAAAGAAAAATTCAAAGTTAGAAAATCAAGTTTTTAAAACACTTCTCAACCCTAACCAACCTCTGAAAACTCAGCAACTTCTCGTAACCACCGACGACGATCCACCGGTTCTATCACTACTATATCCACTCAAACTCTCATCGGAACTCGAATCATCACGACAATTCTCAATGGAGTGGTTCATCAGTGTCTTTCTAGACTTCTTCAACTCCTCCTCCCACGTGTCAACGAACACATCAAACAGCTCATAGAGATCCTGCTCGACACCAATGGTAATATTCCAGCCATTCTCTTTGAGAGACTCGACGATGCCATGAGCAGTGAGGATTCCACCATGGGACTCGTTGAGAAGGGTGAGAAGATGGCCAAGATGGTCTAAGAAGCCACCTGGAACAATTTTTGATATTTTTCATTTTTTGAAGAGCTAAAAATCTTTCTTGGAGAATTATAACCTACCTGGAATGGTTTGTACAGATTTCAACCATCCAACAAACGAAGGACAACTGGCAAGTCCTTGAAGAAGTGCATTCATGTAGCATGTGTTGCCCTGGTTGATTAATCCGGGAATATAAGTACTGGAGGCGGCTGGAAAAAATTAATTTTGACAAAAGCAATTTTCAAATTTCCCACCTGCGGATTCATTTCGACTGGTCACGAAGACGTAGGTGACTGCAGCAGCCAATGTGCCACCAATCAGCGTTCCAGCCACAATAGTCTGTGGCGAATACATCCTCAAATCGATGATGAACGGCATGAGGAACGAAATGAGAGCGGCACAGACGCTCAGAAGAAAAGCACGGACATCCAAGGAGGGTGAAATTATTCTGAAGACTAGATATTTGATTAAGAGAAAAAAACAGGAAAACATATATTTTTTTGGCTGGGAAATTGTGAAATTTAATGACAAAATCTATTTTTATTGGGCTCTTTTATTATTGAGTCGGAAATTTGCATGCATCCTGTGCGACTGGACGTGATCGTGTTTGCGTAGGAAAGCATGGTGTACTCCTCTCGGACAATTTACGAAAATATTTTTTTTTTGTTCTAAATATTTATTTTCAAACCTATAATTTCAGGCAGAAATTTTCAGCCAAGTAAGATGAACAATCTAGTAGACTACGGTGCGGATAGTGATGAAGAATCGCCACGTCGACGGTCCAGCGAAGGACACTCGAGTATGACACAAAAATTCCTGGAGCATAATAAAAAAGTAGAGAAGGAGGAGGCAGAGAAACGGAAAAGAAGGTCTTCGGATGTTTATGCAGAAAATTCGGACCAGTCGGATTACGACGAGCCAACGCCACAGATATTCTCCGAGCCACCGCCACCAAAACGAGTGGATTATCATTCACCAACTCCTGCTCTCATTAACACCTCAATTCGGGATGCCACATGTAAGTTTTCAAGGATTTTCGAAACAAAAAGTTCTCAAACTTTCCTTTTTCTTCACACTTCCTCCCAAGCATCTCTGGTCTCCTATTCCGCCGATGGTGACGAGGAAGACGATGATTCTGCAGAATATATTCCCCAGAAAGTCGTTGAAATGGCGGAACCAGCACCACCAGCTCGTAAAAGCCGGAACAACGAAGAGGAAGATGATGAAGAGCAAAAATTGATTGATATGGCGATCCGAGAGGGAAACGAGGCAATAATGAGAATGAATCAGAATGAGGTATCTCCAGGAAACACTCCTGGACATGACTCAGTTGTTGATTCGCCATTTAATGAGATTGAGAACTTGGAAAGAAGTGAGTTAAAATTATTGGCTTGTTTTTTCAAATACACTTATTTTTCTCTTTATTTTCAGCACCCCGCCAAGCAGCTCCAGATGGGTCACCGAATGCTGACGATGAGATTCGTATCCCACCACCACCGGACGTTGAAGTCAATCCGAGACTCGTGGCAGTCTTCGAAAACGCGTTCCGTCAAAAAGCTCAAGGAGCCGATCTGAATCAGCAAATCCAGGGAAATCCCAAGTACAACAACCCAATGATCTACACAACGTTCATCGAGACTTTTGATATCGACGAGAAGGGAACGAATTTCCCAAAGAATATCTTCGATCCACACGTGTTTCCGGAGAATTGCTATTATGATGCGATTGGAGAGGAGCAGAGGAAGATGCAGGAACCGGTGCAGAAGAAAAAATGATTTAAATAATTTATTTTTTTTATTTGATCTTCTATAAATCTTCTGACTTGTAAGGGTTCTCCAGTGTTTTTCTTTTTTCTGTCCTAAAAATGGATTCTCTCCCATCTCTCCATTTTTTCTATCACTTTGTTTCCTATTCTTTTCCTATCTCTCTCTCTCTGTCTTTCCAGATGTCCAGATATCACCCAGGACATGGGCAACGCGAGCATCGGGGATCTGCACCCACTCGACGTGGGTTCGCACGACCATCCGATGCGGCAGATGAGCCGAGAACTGGGCCACTGATTCTGGAAGAGAAAACGACGGAGACCACCAGTTCAGCAGGTCCAGAGGATCAGCAATTGAAAGTTTTTAATAATCCATATGCGTCGTTGAATATACAGCAACAAAGGATTAGGCTGCCTATTTTTAAGGTAGAAAATTCAGAAAAAAATTGTGTTCTAGATGATTTTTGGTAATTTTTAGATCAATTTCAATACAATTTCCAGCCAGTTTTCTATAATTTTCTATTCGAAAACAGCCTTTTTTTGATAAGAAAATGCCGATTTTTCAGGTCATAAATTGATTTCTTAGATTTTTGATCAATTTTTTTTCCAGAACCGCGGCCACATCCTCTACATGTGTGAACGCTACCGTACTCTAATCATTGTTGGCGAGACGGGATGTGGAAAAAGCACCCAAGTCCCACAGTTTCTTCTGGAATTTGGCTGGGCCGACGACGGACGACAAATTGCAATTACTCAGCCCAGAAGGGTTGCCGTGGTTACGGTAGGTCTGAAGTTTCAGATAAAGTAGCTTGAAATTCAAAATAATTTGTTCAGCTAGCCACTCGTGTTGCCGAGGAGACGGACACTCTTCTTGGGCACAATATCGGATATACAGTAAGATTTGATGACGTGTCAGATGAAGCGACAAAAGTGAAATTCATGACAGATGGGCTATTGTTAAGAGAGATTCTGCAAGATCCAATGTTATCCAAGTACAGGTTAGTGGCCTAAGAAACCAAGCTAGGCCATTTCAAAATAATTTTCCAGCATCATAATGATTGATGAGGCTCACGAACGCTCATGTAACACGGATATCCTATTGGGCTTGCTTCGAAAAATCATGCAAGTCCGGAATGATTTACGCATTATTGTGTCCTCTGCGACACTCGACGCGGAGCTGTTTCGCGATTTTTTCGAGATGAACGAGACGGGAAATCCGGAAAAAGATACTGCGGCGATTCTTTCGGTGGAGGGAAGGACACATCCGGTCGCTGTTCATCATACGAAAACGTAGGGAATTTTCTAAGTCATTAGACTTTTTCTAGGCTATTTTCACATTTCAGACCCGTCCCAAACTATTGTCAAGCCGCTGTGGATACGGTAATCAACATTCACAAACACGAAATGCCTGGAGACATTCTAGTGTTTCTAACGGGTCAAGATGAGGTAGAAGACGTTTGTGAGAAGTTGAGAGAGGAGGCAAGGAAACTCAGAAATTGTGATAAGCTATGGGTTGTACCTTGTTATGGAGCATTGCCAGGTAAGCAATGGCCTAGGAATTTGAGAAAGTTCGGTGATCCTGAATACATGACTACACGCACTTGGGTTCAAGCCAACGGGTCAAAAAACGCGCCCCAAATGATTTTTAGAACGAGTTGCAACGCGTGATTTTTTCGTCCAACGTTTGAAAGTTTGATCATCAGCCACATAATTCAGCAGCGAATTTTTTCTAAAATCTCACGTTTACTGGGGCGCGATTTCTGACCCATTAGCTTGAACCCAAGTATACACGGTGAATTTTTTAGGACGGTGAATTTTCTAAAGTAAATGCGCTCTAACGCGAATACTGTAGTTAAGCGCGCTGAGTATCGACGCGCATGCTGAAAAATGAATTACTGAGTCGCTACACAGCGAATTTTGCGACCTAAAGAAAAAAGCGCGCGAAAAAAAAATTTTAAAATACGTTCCGGAAAAATCGCCGTGTGACTATGATAACCGAACCCAGAATTCTAGGCCATGAGATTAACTTCTTCCTCTTTCAGCCAGCGAACAAATGAAGGCGTTCGACTCAACACCTCATGGCACTCGAAAAGTAGTCGTCGCCACGAATATTGCTGAAGCATCCATCACGATTCCCGGAATTTGCTACGTCATCGACACTGGATATGTAAAACTACGGGCGGTCAATGCTAACAACGGTGTAGAGTCCCTAATGAGGGTTACTGTATCCCAAGCGTCGGCTGAACAACGAGCGGGAAGAGCCGGAAGAATTCGTCCTGGAAAATGCTATCGGCTGTATCCAGAGAGCGAGTTTCGCAAGTTTTCGGAGGGGACTATTCCAGAAATCCAACGGTGTCATTTGGCGGCAACGATTCTTCAGCTGAAGGCGTTAGGTGTACAGAATGTGCACAAATTTCATTATTTATCGGTATGAAGGATCGTAAGAGATACTAGAAAATAAGGGAGACAATTTCAGCCTCCTCCTTCGTGGTCAATGATTCAAGGATTGGAACTCTTGTATGCTCTTGGAGCTATCGATGAATCGTAAGCTTGAACCTGAATTTCAAAATTATTGATTCTGAAATTCCAGATCCCAACTAACCGATCCTCTCGGCCTCCAAATGGCAGAGTTTCCTCTCCCACCAATGCATAGCAAGTGTCTTCTGAAGTCCGCCGAATTCGGATGCAGCGATGAAATCGTCACTATCGTCGCCATGATGCAGATTCAGGACGTCTTCCTAACCCCATTCCGTGCTCGTCATCAAGCTGACATCATCAGAAAAAAGTTTTCAGTTGAAGAGGGAGATCATATGACAATGTTGAATGTTTTCACGAAGTTTGTAGAGAATGGGCGGAGCAAGAAATGGTGCTCCGATCATTTTGTAAATTATCGAGGGCTTATGAGAGCGGACAATGTGAGAAGCCAGTTGGTTCGACTGCTGAAGAGATTTGAGATTCCAAAAGTCTCGTGTCGTGGATTGATTAGTAAGTTTTAGATCAAAAAATGTTCGGAAATGTTTGAAATTCGTAGACTCTGAAGCTTTGAGACAACTTCAAGATTCTAAAAAAATCACATCTAACCCAACCATCTCTTCCAGACGCCTCGGAAAACATCCGTCAATGCCTGGTGACTGGATTCTTCTCCCAAGCGGCTCAGTATCATTATACTGGAAAATATATGACTGTCAAGGAGAATTTCCCATTCAACGTTTATAAAGGATCATCGATTATGTTCAAAAAGGACTATCCGAAATGGTAGGGAATTTTTATTTTGGAATTTCTGTAGTTGAATAGACACTTTAAAATTTTGAGTACAACCTCTCTTAAAAGAGTTGCAGATTTCAAGTTTTCTAAACATCTTATCCCTCGCAGGGTAATCTTCACTGAAGTGATGCAAGATTCAATCCGTGACGTCACTGTAATCGAACCGGAATGGCTCTATGAATTGGCTCCACATTATTACGAGTTCGGTACTGAAGGAGAGCTGGCGGAGAAGAGAATGCGAGGAGGACAATGATCTGATACTACTGTTTCATCTCCCGTTCATTTATTTGTCATAAGAATGATTTCATATTATAAAAATTTGCTAGAAATGAAGCAAAACATCTGAACAAGGTGGAAAATATCACAAGTGATCAAAAGTCTTTTTAGGTCTTACTGTTTTGAAGGAGGCGAACCTAGTTTTTGGAAAATCGAGAGAATTCATGTAGTTTAAAAAATATGGCACTTCGATGGAAGATGAAGTCATCTCAAAGAGCCCGATTTTCGAGAGAAAATTTAAAGAGTACTTTGGAGATTTTGATAAGACAAAGCAAAGGATTGAAGATCTTTTGGATAGTATCCATGATTGGTTGAGTCAGGTAGCTGCTTCTCAAGATAATAGTTTCTTGGATTTTTCTTCCACTTTTTCAAAATGTCCGAAACTTGAAGAATTGGATTTGATGACTGATAGAAGACTGATGGCTATTGAAAAGATTGGAACAATTGTGGCCACACCGAATTTACAAACAGATGCAGCTGCTTTTAAGAAATCACTTCTGGACCTTTCGAAATTGGACCTTCAATTCTCTAGGTTTCAAAAGTCTCTAGAAATGATGCCACTCACTATTCAACGACTTGCTAAGAATCTAGCCAAGAATGTTCAAGACCCTACAACTTTATCTCCGCCTATGAAAGCAGTGACTGCTCAACAGATGTTACGTCTCTCGACAGGATCGTCAAACAATTCGACGAGCACAGTTATTGCGGTTGTTGGTGGTTTTGAAATGTATGTTAGCTATTTGGGTTTGAAGTTTGAATGTATAAATACTTTTCAGGAGCATTGGAGTATTCGGGGCTGTTTTTCGGCATTGTTTTACTATTCTATGGTGTCCTTAAGCCAGTAACCGGAAAGCCATGTATACTTGTGAACTGAGCCTTGCCGGTCCTTCGCAGACACTGCCATAGTTTCTTTTAGAACTCGAAATTCTTGAACCAATTAAAATAGATGTAATAGAGCTCGACGAATACTACAAAGTGATATTATTTGTAAACTTGTATCTAGTCTATGAACGAAGTTACAATTCATAAAGTGGCCGAAACGGGTTGTGCCTGATTTTTTGGTTTGTTTTGTCTGTAACTTTGTTCATAGATAATATACAAGTTTCCAAATGATACCATTTTTTAGCACTTATCGAGTTCTAGCATATCTTATTTAGTTGGTCTAAAACGTATTACCGCGAAGACCCGACAAAGCCCAGGTTTACAGTTATGCACTCAAGCGATTTTTGAACATAAAAACAGTTTGAAATATTTTACTTTTTAGGGAAAACTTTGGCAACAACGGAAAGTACAGCAGCTACTGTTTCTACTAGTGTAACTCAGAATTCAACCGAAGCCGCAAGACCATCAGGATCAACCACGCCAATAGTGCCAACACCAGCTGTGCCTGTGGCACCACCACCGTCCGCTGCTCCAGCACCTGCCACACGGCCCAATATAACCCCTAGTGTCCGCGCAGCAGGTTCGTTCCAAGCCGAAAGCATCCTGAAGAAACACAAACTTTCTAGTTTTGGCTTCCATTGCTCCAGCACCCGGAACACATCCGAACTTTCCAGCTCATCGCGGAGGTTCTCCGAGCAACACGATGCTTCTTACAAATTCGCCCATGGTCTATTAGGATGGGTTAGCTTATTACATCATCCACTTGAGAAAGTTATAAGAACACATTTTCAGGGATTTCAACCTCCCGCTGCTGAAACAGATACTAATCCAAATCCAGATGCGACAGTATCTGAAAGAGATAGAGACATACCAATCACTGATCCGAAATTTGGGAATAAAAAAAGTAGAACTGCCTGATAGCTTTTTCAATAAATTTGATTTTATCTGTATCAATTAGTTCATTAAACAAATAGATATTCAACAGTTATCCTCCACAACCTCGTCGTTTATAAGCAATCAGAGAACCACAGTTTGGACAATAGTGTCGTACATCTTTGGTTCCAGACCAGCATAGACAGAATAGAAGAGGAAGGAGTAGGAAGACAATAGCGAACACCATTATCATACTCCAACAAGGTCCAGCAACACAAACGGTTCTAGTTGTTACATTAGTCTGAAAATTGTGTAGATCAATTCAAATTTTCCAAAAAATGACTTTCAGAATTAGCATAGCCCACTCAAACTGTCGAATTTGAGCTTAATTATCTCGGTTCTTATGAGAGATATCCAAAATCTGTCAACTGTTAGAATATTTTTGATATTATGATAAATAATTTAGCAGTTGATGGATTTTTGGTATCTCTTACAGGTACCGAGATAATTGAGCTCAAAGTTACCGATTTAATTGGGCTTCTATTGAAACGCGGTAACTAAGGCTTTCAAATCATAATTTTTCAATTTTTCCAATCTTCTCACCTGACACATCGGACAATACTCAACGTATGGTTTATCATAATCGACCAATTTGAATTGTGACTGCACTATTATAGGGACGAGAACCACCTGTGATTGTGTTACGTGTGTTCCTTGGGTCCCAACTGGATTCCCACCAACTGCTGCTGAATACGGTGGTGGAGCTGAGTCCATGATTCTTAGCCTCTGAAAAGAAGGTTGGGAAATTTGAATTAAGGAAAAATATGTCTAGAAGTAAGTTTTGACAAATTGAAGCTTTCAAAATCTAGGTTAGACAAGCTGAGTCGGAGAAAAAAAATGATGCAAGTTTTTGAAATACAGGCTAGTAAGTATCATTCTGAAATAAATCGAAAAAATGAAAATTCTTCTGCTGACTGATAAGAGCAACTAAGAAAGCAAACAAATGTGATGTCTCTGTGGAAATTTCCAACAAATCTGTTCCTCGATTTTAAATGTTCTATTGGTTTTCGTCTAGAATAAAACTTGTTTCCCAACGAAAAAAGTTTATTGACAACCAAATGTATATATGCACCCAAGTAAGTATGTTCAACCAGAACCAAAATGTAAAACGTAAAAAACAATAATTAGCAGCCCCTCTTCTTGACGGCCAAACAAGTTGCACAGTTTGGACAGTAATGTTTGACATCCTTGGATCCAGCACAGCACAAACAGAATAGAATTGGCCAGCAAAACACGAAAACACCGATGAAGAGAATGATCCACCAGCACGTTCCGATGCTATGCACGGTTCGGGTTGTTACGGAAGTCTGGAATAATTTGGAGTTTGCAATTCAATAATGTTTCAGCATTTTTTTTAACTACCTGTCAAGTTTGAGCTCAATTATCTCAATTCCTATGCAAGATATAAAAAATGCATCATCTGACAACATACTTTTCATGATTTGATAAACAATTTATCAGTTGATATCTTTTTTATCTCTTTGACATGAAACGAGAAAAATTGGCTCAAAGTTAGAAGGTAGGGGCCCTTCTACTAAAGGTTTTACGTATCTCAGCACAGCCTAGATTTTTGCATCGGCGACATTTTTCATACTTTTCATTTCACTATTAGCTAGTCTCAATTCTTTTACAAAAATTAATTCGTCGGAATCGGCATAAAACATTTTTACCTGACATCTTGGGCAATACTCCAAATATGGATGATCTTGATCCACATGTTTGCACTGAGTCGACACGATTACTGTAGTTGTAGCTGTAGTTGGTCGTGGTTGGGCCATATTAATAACTTGTGGTTGTTGAGGAGCCACATAGACTGGCTGCATATAAACTTGCTGCATTTCCACGGCCACTGGAGCGGCACCCACACCCACCGTGTATGGTGGTGGGGCAGTGTCCAATGCGGCGGGGGTGGTGACCGGGTAGACTGGTGCTGTTTCTGGCTGTCCCATGGATCTGATGGATCTGAGAATATTGAATTTGAGGGTCAGAGAGCTTCAAAATGAATACGAACACATCTTGGAAAGTCCTATAAGAAACATATGAGAAGACGAGGCAAATTTTGGAAAATTAATTTTTTTTGCTAGTTTATCAAAAAATGAATAGAATTTTCAGAAAATTGGAAGATGCACAAAATGAGAGGAAAAAACGAGAAAAACGGAGATGAAAAAATGGGTGACACGCGGCTGATAAGCGGAAGAAGAGGTGAAATACAAGAGCAAATATTAAACTATTATGGTGGGTTCTCCTTTTTTCAAGCACTGTCTCTCGTCGACCCTCCTCTTATCAGAAAGCTTATATAACAATGATAAGCGTCATTTTAAATGATTCATCGAATGAAAACGAGGGAGTTGAGAGAGAGAGAGAGAGTTTTTGAAATTATCAGAAACTAGAAGAACAGAGAGTCATCAGTTTTTGTTTATTGGCTCGCCTTCTGGTTGCTATAAAATTAAGTTTGGGGTGAACTACTCAAAAGACTCGAAAAATGCAAAATTTATTATACTTGATGCTGAAATTCAAAAAATCACAATTTCGAAATCAAAGTTTTATAAATGTGGTTTTTCGTCAGTATCCTTGTTGAAATAATCATCAGTTTCAGGGTCACACATTTCATTTAGATCTTTGAATGAAAAATTCCAAATCAGTATCAGAAAGGTGTCTAGTGTTCCAAGGTCTCTCCGGAGGGACCATCAATTATAGGGGCGGAACTAGAGGGGAGTAATAGGACCTTATGACAAGGGGTGCCATCATAAGAAAAGGGGACCCAAGCTTTTCCCATGGCCCCCTGGTAATAAAGATCCTCAATTTCAAAGTGTCACATGAAATTTGAATACTAGAATGAGAAATTCCAAATTTGTATTAGAAAGATGTCCGGAGGGCCCTTCATCTTGAGGGCCAAACTAGGTATCGTTAATCTTCGAATTCTAACAAAAACGAATTCTCAAAAAACCTTTGTTCACCATAAAAAATACACAGACAATATCATACACACTTTTTATAAAACACATCCAATGACAGAAATAGAACACGACAGGCACTAGCCAAGTGACCGAGTAGAGAACGGAGGTCCTAATGAGCAACCAGCGGAACCACAGTGAGCTCACGAGCCGGATCCGTCTCGAAAATCGCCTTGGCACATTGGGCTTCTTGAGTAGTGTCAGAAGTCAGGACGATGAGATGGTCGGTCTTCTCGACTCCATTGTGACGGAGCACATCGATCGACACATTTTGGCCAGGCTCGACGAATCCAAACACTGGATTGACACGGTAGAGCAAGTTGTCCGAGGTTTTGACCTAGAAAATGTTTCATTTTGGAAATAAATTGGGATATTTTTTGAGAGCCTACCTTGAACGCTTTACGCGATTTCGTGCTATTCGGGATCACAACGGTTTGGACACCTCCAGTCGGAGCGAACGGAAGCTTGTTAGGAGTGGCACGAAGGGTGGATGGTTTGACTAAAAATTGAAATTTTTAGGACTATTTTTAGACCTTAAGAATAGCTCAGTTCTCACAAAAACTACGGACAATTATGGGATTGAAATTTGATATTACTAAAATGATACAAACTATTAACAGTCAAAAACTCACTCTGGCCCTCGGGGAATTTGTAGTTCGAGCTGTTGGGCACCGCCTTCAACGCCTTCTCTCCAGAATGCGATCCAGATCCCGACGACTTTTGTTTTCTCGAACGCTTTCCACTCTTCGATGAGGCATCCGACGAGTTGGATGGGCAAATGGCGTTTCGTTGTTTCTGAAATAACACCGTTTTAAAATTAGTGAAGCTGCAAGTTAGAATCCTAATTCTTAAGTTCATACAATTTGAAATCAGGAAAAAATCCAAAGCAATATTACTTCAAACTTTCAGCTTCACCTAGGGATTTCGAATTTTTCAAAATTCCAGAAATCCAATCAATTCAAAAGTTCAACAAACACAAGACAAAACTTCCCAACTTCCTGGTTCCTCGTCTCCAATCTCACCTAATCAAAGTGATTGGTTTTGTGTGATAGTGTGATATGAGGTGTGTGTATCTCTGTATGTGATAGCAGAGACGGATGTGTATTACATCGAAATAAACATGAAATTACACAAGAAAGTATACAGATGTACTATACCAGTGCAGAAAAAAAACCTAGGATTGTAACATAAGGTGTCTAAATTGTAACAACTTGGTATATAAGGGAACATGAGAACCCTTAGAAGACATCAAGCTTTCTTCTTTGTCTTTTAGCAAACCAACTTTCCTTTTTATCCTCAACTTTTTCAAATTCTCCCAATTTTCCAGAATGTCCAACTTTGGCCTTATCACTGTCCAAATCTTCACTGCATCAGCCATTCTTGGCTCTCTGCTCTACTCGGCTCACCTCTACACTGAGATCAATGCTCTTCAATCTGATGTTCTTTCCGATATGAACTCCTTCAAGACCATTGCCAATGACGCCTGGAGATCCATGATCGCTGTGAACGCTCCACAAATCCAAGGAGCTCTTCCAGACTTTGGCAGTCTTTTCAGAGCAAAGAGATCTGGATCATCTTGCAACTGTGGACCACAACCAAGCAACTGCCCACCAGGACCACCAGGACCACCAGGAGCCCCAGGAGATGATGGAGAAGATGGAGCCAACGGACAAGCAGGACCAAATGGAGAGGATGAAGCTAGCCAAGGAAAATCTTCTCAGCCGACCGAATGCATCACTTGCCCAGCTGGCGCTCCAGGACCACAAGGACCAGACGGACCAGCCGGAGCTCCAGGATCTGATGGACAACCAGGACAACCAGGTGCACCAGGACAAAACGGAAAACCAGGTGCCCCAGGAGAACAAGGAGATGCCGGAGCTCCAGGAACCCCAGGAAACAACGGATCTGATGGACAGCCAGGACAGAATGGACAGCGCGGGAACGGAGCTGCTGGAGCACCAGGACCACAAGGACCAGCAGGAGCACCAGGACAAGACGGACAGCCAGGACAAGATGGAAATCCAGGAGCTCAAGGAGCACCAGGAAATGCCGGAGCACCAGGACAACCAGGAGCCGCTGGAGATGATGGAGTTGCCGGAGAGAATGGATCCGATGGAGAGCCAGGAACCGACGCCGAGTACTGCCAATGCCCACCAAGAACCGGAGCTATTGAGGTGGAGCCAGCCGTGCAGTCCGAGTATAAGAGAAGAAAGTACAGATTCTCTAACTAATTTGATTTCTAGAGCTTTAACCAAACTTTTTGTAAATAAAGCAATGTTCAATGATCTAGTCTTTGGCTGATAATGACCCTAGAAATGACTCAGGAAAAGCAAAAAAGCTGAAAATGATCATAGAAATGACCCTAGACCCTAGACAAGTGAAAAAAGTCTCACCTGATTCTTCAACTTGTTTGGATCACACTGCACAGCCTTGCACTTCTTCGACTTGGAAGATCGTCTTGACGACTTCGACGAGCGCTCCGATCTAGTTTTCTTCGTCTCCGACTGACGCTTTCCAGCTCCAGGAATCGCGGCGACTGCTGCCTCCACCGAGGATTCCTTCTGCGATTCCTTCTGCGAGCCCTTCTTAGGATCCTTCTTCGACTTGGAAGACTTTCTGTGTTTGTTCTTGCGGTGGCCAGATTTACCGGATTTTCCAGATTTCTTTCCAGACTTTCCAGATTTTCCAGATCTCGAAGAACGATGAGATTTGGTGCCAGCGGTTGAGGATGAAGCACGAGAGGATTTCGATTCAGCTCGTTTAGACTTGGAAGACTTTCCAGTTGGCTTCTTGCGGGACTGAAATTTTGAATTAATGATTTTTGTAGACAATAGTTTTTGAGAGAAAAAAAAAACTAACCGTCTGTCGGTCCTTAGAAGAGCACATGGTGAGCACACCAACCGTGGCGGTGGCCGAAGCAATCAGAGACATCAGCGGAATCATCGTGGCAATTTCGGCGGTTCTATTGCACAGTGACGAAAACACAGTACTCCACTTGATGAGGTGATGGACGATGTGGTTGAGAGAGAGAGAGAAAACTAATTCTACTCGATTATCGATTGATTTGATTTGGCGCCAAAGGGGGGGGGCGGTGGAGCCAGTTGGCATCGGGATCTCGGGGTTACACGGTCAAATGGTTCATTGGGGATGCCAAGAAAAAGGTCTTTAAAGAAGAAGACCTGTAATTGTTTTAAAAAGTTAAGGATTCCTTAATAAGGAATAGGTACATCGTCGAATCTTCTTTTCTGTTACTAAAACTTGAGGAATTCAAGAAATATGAAAATTTCGGGATGTTTTATGGATTAGAAACAATTATATGACCTGAGAGAAGCCCCTAATATTTAACTTTAGGACCGTTTTTCTCGGTTCCTGTAAAAGATATGAAAAAAAGTTAAACTGATAAATTGTTTATCAACTGATAAATTGTTTATCATAATATCACAAATATTTTATTAGTTTACATTTTTTTGATATCTTGCATAAGAATTGAGATAATTGAGCTCAAACGTGACAGTGCTATTACAAGATATATGTACGGTACATTTCGGTCCCTCTTTTAGAACAATTTCTGGACAAACCGACACACAGACCAATTCGAATTCAAAACTTCCCTTACAAAACTTCCCAAAAACCAATGGTCAGAAATAGAGAGACAGTAGTCATCTATAATTATCGGGTCGTTTTGGTTATTTCGAAGCGGAGGGGGTCATAAGAGGAAATCGGGGTGGGGACATCCTCCGGGGGAAGAATATAATTGGCCTTCTGTATGACACCTGTCTTCTCGTCTCACGGGAAGAAGGCTATATGACCAGCGGATCATGATGACTTGATGATGACTACCGGATGAGATTAGTTGTGGGTTTTATGACTCTTTCTCAGGTTTTCGAAATTTGAAAAATGGCTTTAAGGTTTTTTTTGACCTGCCAACTTTAAAAGTTTTTTTGGTAGATCAAATTTGGTCTAGCGGATTTTTCCTGTGGGAGATTTGCCTCCTGGGGAATTGGAATTACAAAGGAAAAAGAAAACAGAAACCGCTTCATTTTTAATTGATTTTAGGGTCCCCAACCTCAACAATATTAGGTGGAGCTATTCTCCGGCCCCGCCCATTGGACAAAAGTGACTGTCCATTAGAACATAAGAAATTCTATTTGGCTTTTGTTGAATTGGTTTTCTTAATCCTTCCCTCACTTTTCAAAAATTTCAAATCATTTTCATTGTTTTTTTTTAAATTTTACCCTCTATTTTTATCAAACTGCTCCGGGCAATATTTCAGAAATTCATAATTTTTTCTGCTGTATTTTAAGATCTCTAATGTTAAACGTTTTTACAATCCCCTTTTCGGAAGCTCATCATGAGCTCGTTAAGATCGTCTATCTTTTTTGAAATTTCAGCAGAAAAACTTTTCGAACTCAAATTTTCTTTTGATAGCGAGTATCAAATATAGTTTTCAAATCTGAACTTCTGATTTTTTAGACCCTATCTTCAAGCCATCAAAAAATTTAAAAAATAAGATTCTGACTTTGCCCTAATTTTCTCTGCGTCTCCTCCTCCCTCTATTCCCATTTTCCACAGAAACCGATTCGTTATGGAAATTAGCCATCCGTTTCCTCTTTTTCCGAGATTCTGAAGGACACATACACATTTTCTGTGATTCCTTTCTTTGTCTCCTGTCCCTTCTGAATTCTGCAAGATTACACTAAAATCTAACACCAGCTTGCAAGTAAGCCCTTTAGCTTAAATGAACCAATTAGTTGGTTCTGTTGAAGATTTGTAATCTGTTAATTCCATTCCAGACCGAATCAGATGGTCTGTCTTAGGTTCAAAGTTAAATTCCATCTCAAGATTGACAGAAGGTTTCGATAACCCAGGAAGTTTCCTTTTTTTTAATCAAACAATTCTACAGAAATCTGAATTGCCTAGAAATTGTTTCAGAAATCCTTCAAAATTAAGCATTTTCAAAAGTTCTAAAAGTCTAAGATATTCACAAATTGGAGCTCTCAAATTCCAAAACATCTAAAATACCGTAGAATCTGTAATAGAAAAGCCCTCCCACACTGTCAAGTTTGAGCTGATTTATCTCGGTTTCTGTAAAAGATATAAAAATTTGTCAACTGATAAAATATTCATGACTTTATGATAAATAATTTATTGGTAGACAACTTTTTTATATCTTTGACAGGAACCCAAATAACTTAACTCGAAGTTAAAAGTTAGTCGGCCCTTCTATTACAGGTTTTACGGTATTTTGAAAAATTGCCGCATATTCTTCTTATTCGTAGGGTCTAATTCACAAGTCGTTTGGCTTTTGAAAACCTAGGTCTGCCGAAAAATAGGTTTCTTTTAGTTTCAAATTCAAAACTACCGCGATTATATATTTTTCAATTTTTTTTCTTTTCTACCCCCCTGAAAACCACTTATCTCTTCACCGCCTATTTTGGGTCAAGTGGTAAGAGGTGTCCACTTTCCATTCTTCTCGATTTCCGAAATAGAGAGAAAGAGAACACTTCTCCCTGTCACACCTTTTTCTATCCATTTTATTACTTTTTTATCTTTTTTGTCTTTTTTTGTCTCAGAAAACAGAAGTTCATTTTTTTCCCGCAATCAGGTCAGATTTCTCTTTTTTTTTTGTCTGATTCATCTTCTTATCTTTTCCGTCTTTTAACATTTTCGTGTCGCTCTGATATTGAGATCGTGTACTTTTAAAGATTTCGATAATTTTGAAATCGTAATCTTAGTTTCCTAGCTAGTTTTAGAATTCCCAGCTAAATTTTCAAACTTGATTTTCTAGAAAAATACATTTTCTGAAATTTCAATTTTTCTCGAATATCGTTGTTTCATAAGGAATCTTTACTATAATTTCAAAATCCTCTAGCCTAAAGTTTTTTGGTTCATCTGAATTTTATCTTGGTTTTTAACATCTTCACCAGTTACAGGTTCTCAATTTTACAACCCAATTATTTTATTTTGTCCCTAACACTATGGCTAATTAACATCTGTTTCTGTGTGTCTAATTAACATAACCCAAGAAAGTATTGAAAAAACAGTTTCGCTTTTTTCTCCTGGAACTGGTTTTTGTGTATTCTAAAGGGGCAAAAGAGGTTATGTAAATTCTGAATTAGCGGTAATTAAGTAATTAGGTAATTAGAAAAATCAAGGACCGTTATTTTTAAAACAACTTGTTAACTTTGAAATCAATCTTTGACTATGAAAACATTTAAAAAAATAACTTGACACCAACAAATCACACATTTTCTCTAAATCTCTTATTCTTGACAAAAAAAAACCAGTTAAAAGATAACAAACCTTTGGAGTTTCAGATTTTTTATCTTCAATATCGAAAAAAAAGTTAACCGGAATTTTGAAATCCCTAGAAATCCTACATTTTAAAAATTCTCGACTCTAGGTAACTTTTTTGAATTTGTTCAATTTTTGAAATTGATCAAGTCTATTTAAAAATTGAAAAGTTTATTTTGTAAATTTATGGTTTTTTTGGCATCGTGCCAATTCTCAATTCACTTTCTCTAACCACTTGAAAATGAACTCTTGTAGATATTCTTAAAACAGCCAGTAGTACTAATCCAACTGGTTTTTCTTCAATTGTGTTAATTTTCGAATGTTTCAAAAAGTAAAATCTATATCGACGAAAATGTCCTTTTCATATCAAAAAAAGGACATTGGGGTTTTTTGATTAGTTTTCTTGTCGATAGTTTTGGAATATTAGGTTGGCGGGAAAGTCTTTGTCACTCTGTTTGTTTAATCACTGTTCTCGTATATGGAGGCTGTGTATGATATCGACTCTAGTGAATAACAAGGTGATAAGAACCTTCCATATAAACAAGTCCCCATTTCCTTCCCTGCTCCTCATCTGTAATTGAACGATATGTTTGTTCCCACTGCTATTCACATCAGACATGTTTTGATTTACCTCTTCCTATCTCACACCACGATGAAGGATTCGGAAACTTTCTTGAAGAATGTGTACAACACACATGCCCCTCACTACAATACTATTCGCAATTGGTTCCATCGTTTCGAAAAAGATGACTTCTCGCTCGATGAAAAGGATCGCTCTGGGAGACCCCGTGAGTTGGATTTGGACAAGCTGAAGCACGCATTGCAATCGGATCCATTTCAATCTAGCCGTGAACTAGCTGTCACATTCGGAGTTCACCATAGCACAGTCCTTGAAGGTTTGAAGTCTCTTGGAATGAGAAAACTTTTTGGTCGATTCATACGTCATCACCTGACTCAAGCCAACCTTGACCGCCGAGTCGACGATTCGATTACTCTTCTCACTCTCCACGCGGGCGATCGATGGCTGGACCGGCTAATAACCGGAGATGAGAAGTGGGTCTTCTACGATAATCACCACAGGAAATCCCAGTGGGTTGGAGAAGGAGAGAGCCCACAGGATGTCCCCAAACCCGACCTTCATCCGAAAAAAGTTATGCTCTCTGTGTGGTGGGGAGTGGACGGCCCCATCTACTGGGAACTTCTGCCCGAGGGCAAAACAATAACTGGAGACCTCTACACTACTCAACTACGAAACCTCAAGAAAGCAGTCGACCGTTCGGCCCTGAAAGACAAGAAAGTGTACTATCAACATGATAACGCTCGCCCACATGTTTCGAAACAAGTGAAGCAGGAGCTGATGGGATATGGATGGAATGTTCTCCCTCACCCCCCGTATTCTCCTGATCTTGCTCCTTCCGACTATTGGTTATTTGGCGATATGACACGTTCCTTCGAAGGAAGAAGCTTCAATTCCCGTGGAGCGGTCGAAGCGGCACTCAAACAATACTTTGCCTCACGCCCGGCTGGATTCTACCGCAATGGAATCCATAAATTGAGGGAACGTTGGAGACATGTTGTTGATAATGATGGACAATATAATTAATTATTCGGTTATTTTTTCTTTGAGAAATAAACTATTGAAAAAGTGA